CACCCCATCGCTAGCCTGCAAAATTGCGGCAGGGGTCTTTAAGGATTCTGAAGGAATGTCACCAGGACGTTTTGAAGGCTAGTCGTCTAATGCGTCGTGGGCCCAGCTGCGCACTATGGATCAAGGCGCGCCACTGGTCAGGGCTATCTGCTGCATCAGATTTCCATGGGCTAGCTGCTGAGGACAACCCTGTATTATTGACGTGTCAATGTCAGGCTTGATCAGGGAGCTGGGCCGGTTTTTGATGGTTCGCGCTTCCACATGCGCTTGTGTATTTGCTTGCCGTGGAATTCCAACATGTTTTCCCCGCTCCCCTACAACCCCAAACTTTGTTAGAAGGCAACTGCGAACCGACAAAAGCTGTGCGAAGCAGCCATACGGGCAAGAAACCTGGAGGTGGCAAACACTGCGCTTTTGTCAGCCAACCTGACGGCCACATAGGTTGCTAATGCCTCACAAGCTGCTGGATGCAACCCAGCCGGACCTTTCCTTGAGTACTGATGACGCCAGTTCAACCCACTGCCCTGCTGCGCGCACAATGACAGAGCAGGCTCAGCAAGCCCCAGCCGATCTGGCTCTAAGACTAGTCTCCACTTGGGATTTCCAGCTCGCCTTTCCGAAGGGTTGTGGAGGCCTTCGACCTTCATGGGCAACGAAACGGACATGAGCTTGTGCTCTTTTACGAAAACATTGCGAAACATCAAACACCACCTGCTTTTGCTTCCTGTTGCAGGGGTGCATCATCACGGGTCGAAAACAGGATGCTCACACCTGGTAAGAGTCCAAGAGGCCGCAGCAAAGCCGAGGTGCCCACACATTTCAATCTGAAGCGGTTCAATCACAAAGTAGGACTCTATTCCGCTTCACGCCTTGTTTTCACGTGCGCGCGCCTGCAGGTAGGAATTCTGCAGCCAGATTGTGTGCAACGGTGGGGGGTCAAGTTGGATTGGACTGAAAAGGCGACAAGTGCCACTGGCGGCTGTTGGCGGCGTTTCTGAACCAGAACCCTCTCCAACATTTACCACCAAAACATGTCGAACTGTCAGACGCACAGCTCTTTGCATGTGAGCTGGGGCTTGGACAAGCGGGCGCAAGCGCGATGTTTTGACTCTACTGCGTGTTGCTGCCCCATTGTTTTGAAGCGTTCAGCAGGTTTCCGTCTACCAACGCCCGTGTTAGTCAAATCATGTACGGGTTGGAGATTATGTTTCTGCAAAGCCCTACAAAGGGCGACATCCTATGGCAACACGTCAAACATCATAGTCCCAAAGTCTCAAGTCAAAAGATCCTACCGAAGTTTTTTCATAAACTGCACTGGAGCTTCAAGTGCCTTAATAGGATCCAGCGGGTTGTGACGCTCGGGCTCGGGACCCCCCACACCAGAATCCGACAGAATCCGACGGAATCCGACGGAATCCGACGGAATCCGACGCTCGGGGCGTCAAATGTCCTAGTTTCGACACCCCCTGACCCCAATCCGACGGAATCCGACGGAATCGCTTGGGGCGTCGATGCTCTTTTTGTTTCGACACCCCCTCCACCCCCAATCCGACGAAATCTGACGGGATCCGCCCAAGCAATTCCGTCGGATTCCGTCGGATTGGGGTCAGGGGGTGTCGAAACTAGGAGATTCGACGCCCCGAGCGTCGGATTCCGTCGGATTCCGTCGGATTCCGTCGGATTCTGTCGGATTCTGGTGTGGGGGGTCCCGAGCCCGAGCGTCACAACCCGCTGGATCCTATTAAGGCACTTGAAGCTCCAGTGCAGTTTATGAAAAAACTTCGGTAGGATCTTTTGACTTGAGACTTTGGGACTATGATGTTTGACGTGTTGCCATAGGATGTCGCCCTTTGTAGGGCTTTGCAGAAACAGAATCTCCAACCCGTACATGATTTGACTAACACGGGCGTTGGTAGAACGCTTCAAAACAATGGGGCAGCAACACGCAGTAGAGTCAAAACATCGCGCTTGCGCCCGCTTGTCCAAGCCCCAGCTCACATGCAAAGAGCTGTGCGTCTGACAGTTCAACATGTTTTTGGTGGTAAATGTTGGAGAGGGTTCTGGTTCAGAAACGCCGCCAACACTCTATTCCGCTTCACGCCTTGTTTTCACGTGTGCGCGCGCCTGCAGGTAGGAATTCTGCAACCAGATTGTGTGCAACGGTGGGGGGTCAAGTTGGATTGGACTGAAAAGGCTACAAGTGCCACTGGCGGCTCCTACTTTGTGATTGAACCGCTTCAGATTGAAATGTGTGGGCACCTCGGCTTTGCTGCGGCCTCTCCTGGACTCTTACCAGGTGGAGCATCCTGTTTTCGACCCGTGATGATGCACCCCTGCAACAGGAAGCAAAAGCAGGTGGTGTTTGATGTTTCGCAATGTTTTCGTAAAAGAGCACAAGCTCATGTCCGTTTCGCTGCCCATGAAGGTCGAAGGCCTCCACAACCCTTCGGAAAGGCGAGCTGGAAAGCCCAAGTGGAGACTAGTCTTAGAGCCAGATCGGCTGGGGCTTGCTGAGCCTGCTCTGTCGAACCTGCCCTGCACAGTGATTGCACCTAGCAGCTACTGAAGCATTATCAACCTACGGGCCATCACCTCGGCCGTATGTCCGCTTCTGCGGCTTGGTCTGGTTGTGCTTCATAGCGCCGCTGAGCTGCTTCGCGCTGCGTTTGTCTAGCAACTGCCCCAAGATTTACGGATTTCGGAGAGTTTGGCAAACCATTCAATTGCAGCCAGCAAAGGGTGAGAAACACAACCATCAAAAAGCAAACCAGCTCCTTGATCAAGCCTCAACATTGACACGTCAATGATGCAGGGTTGTTGTCCTCAGCAGTCAGCCCATGAAAACCGTGTAAACCTGATGTTCAGCAGATTCGACGCGCTGGCCGTGCTGCATGCAAGTAGCTGCAGGGCCTGCGACGCGTTAGACAGAATCAACATAGACTTCAGCCTTCGGGGTGTCCTGGTGACACCCCCAAAAAAATAGCGAAGACCCCTGACACCCCACAGTTTGGCACGCAAGCCACGGGGTGTGCTATGCACAGGGCCGGGGTGTGCATTGCACACCCCCTCGAGCATCTGGGTAGTTGAAATCACCGGCTTGGCCTGTTTGGCGAGCTGATCTGGAGGTAAAACGAGCGCAGGCTCCGATAAAGGTCGTTTGCTTGGGGATTCGTTTTGAATTTTGTCAGGTGCAGTGCTTTTCGATTTTGTAAATCCATTTACGAGTTTGTTTTCTCATTTGCATTTCAACCCTAGTTTCCCTCAAGTGGAACATGGACACACCAAGGGAGTGAAACCACGACCTCCTGGATGCTTTCTCTTTTCTGGGGGTGTTGTTTTTTTTTCAGGGGAACCCCAAAATTGTGGGTTTTCCTTTTGGGCGTATCCAACAAAAACCAACCAAAAGACGGCAGGGGGTGTGGGATTTCGTCAAAGCCTCCGCGCCCTGCGCCAGGTTTGCAGCAGCCGCCGGGCCGCAAGAGGAATCCGTTAGGTCTTGGTGTTTTCGTGAGGGATCAGATACCCTCCAGCTAACATGGAAGTGCACGGACCCCTGCAGAAAGGCGAGTTTCCTCTTGGAAAGGGGCTTTGTGCACTTCCATGTTGGTTGCTGGGAGGGCAAGCCTTGGTTGCTTTGGATCTGGACTTGAGCATTTGCACTGGCTCTCGAGGGTAAATGGGGTTCACCCTGACCACCGAGCCAAACCAAAGCACCAAAGCACCAATTGGAGGGAAGCCGGGAAGCCGAAAGGGACGTAATTGGAACACGATCCAGATTCAAGTCATGTTGCTTTCGATACCTCAATCTTCCTGGACTGCAGACCTGCAACGATGTTGCATTTGCCATCCATAAATCAAGCAGGCCAACGGGTTGTGGCTGGGCTGTTCAAATGAAATCCTTAATCCTTACCTTGCGTTGTGCAAGGAAACCGGTCCTTTTTTGTAGTGGAAAATCGGATTGGCGAAGCCTCCATTTTGAACAGCCCCGCTGAGCTCGGGGAAGACCACTCATTGAGACCACTCGGGTGTTCGGCCAGATTGGGAACCTAGGCTACCCACTTTTGTTTCTCCCCCGTTCAGTGGGGTTGACCTTGGGATTGTTATTGGTAGTCAAAAAAAATGTGTGTCTTTGCAGGGTTAACCTTGTTATTCGGTTTTAACCGCGGCATTTTCCACTTGGGCGAATCGAACTTCCAAGCCGGCGGGGCTTCGCTCGAGGCCGCACACTTGGCCCGCTGGCGCACCACAGGCGGGCAGTGAAAAGAGGTCCGTCCGTCCTGAACACGGTCCCCGATGGAAGAAAGGAGTGGATCCTGTCACCAGTCACCCGTCTGCTGTGTTTCTTCCTTTTTTCTTCGGACAGTCTGGTTGAAGGCGTTGTGTGTCTCGGGCTTTTTATGTTCCTTAGATTCCCGTGACCTCTTTTTGTGGGTAATGATTAATGGGTTACGAAAGGATCTGGCCATTTGTGGTGTTTCCCAATTTGGATGTCCAAGATCGGCGTGGCCAACGTTTTGAACTGCAACTAGTATCAAGTTTCAACAGATTCTGGATTCGGATTGGCCAGAAACTGGTATGACCAACGGAGCCTTGATCAAAACCTGGGTATTTGAGGGCTGGGTGGCCAGTCCCGACCAATGGGAGTGCGGGACCTTGCATCGAAGATCTCGTAGTGGTCCTAGTACCCTTCTTTTTGTTTAAATTATTATTTAGATATATATATATATATATATTTGCAAGGCCTATACAATATATATATATACATATATATACACATGCACTATATATATACACATGCACTATATATAAATATTTATATGTTGGTAGAGTCAATGGGTTTTGAGCGCTGCTCAGTTCTGTCCTTTTCCAATGGTGCCACTTAGTGGGGCGTCCTCTCTTACCTTGATTGGATGCAGCAACTACGTGCCCAGGGTCCAACACAGACCCAAACTTGTGCGTGGCCTCCGGCTGCAGAAGTGCTGCAACAGAAATGCGCGTCTTCGTACAGTCGCTCCCTTAACTTTGTTTTGCACTTTTGATGTCGACTCATACGGTATGACATGGGCACGCGAACAGCCGGCCCATGCTCATAGCAAGTCTCAGAATTGCATCAAGTGGAAAGTGGAAAGTGGAAAGTGAAAGTGCGCTGCTCAGTTGAGATTCATAAAGAGGTATAATTGATCAGCCCATGATATACATATATATATATATACATACATATCGGTCTCTCATCAACATCGGCAGGGTTTCTATAACAGGGCCATACTGTGGATGCCTCCACCAAGATGGAAGCCCAGTAAAAGGGACGACCTGTTCAATGGGAGATTTATGGTTAGACTGCAGCCGAACCGCGTTTGAGTAGAAGATGATTCTCACTTTGTGTTTCCGGGAATCCAAAGTTCTTGCAGCGGTTTTAGGACACATGTTTTTTTTCTTCCCATATTGAACAAGCGCATTCCCTAGCTGTATGAACTGTCTTTGCACATGTTTGGTGCGCGGTTGCTGGCATTGGCCTCGGGGATTCCTGAACTGGCTTGGCCAAATCGCTTTTGGAACTTGGGAGACAAATTAAATGCGGTCATTAAACGATCGAATGAAGCCCTGATAATTTTCGGAACACCTCGCACTTGAAGCGATCCAGAGGATGAGATGTGTTTGCGTTGCGATTTCACCCAGCTGGCTCTTTCATTGGGGATCGACGTATCTGAGACACAGGGGAACCCAAGATGGTTCTGCAAACATTGGTACCACGCTGGCATGAAACGAGCTTTGGCCCCAGGATGAAGGGTGTGCAGTTTGGGAAGTAGTGCAGGCTCTGCCATAAACGTTGCAACATGGGAACCCACCAAAAGGCTCCGCAGATTGGAACATGTTCCACCAAAGACCCCCATGGCAGGGATTCGGATAGGTATGAGTTGCAAAACGAGGCTGGAGCTGTAGGCAGCCTACATGTCCAAACGCCAAACCACGGAAGGCCACAAAAAGGCCACAACCACTCCCCACAATTCCAGGACTTTCTGTGGGAAGACCACTGAAGGCAAGCAAAGGGTTTGGATTTGATTTTAGCCAACCCTCTCAATATCAGGGCTCCACTGTTTGACTATTTCAAGATAGACTTAAACCCAGAAATTCCCCTTTCGGAGGTAATGGACCATGCCTTGGTTTAAGTCTACCCTGACGTCAAAAAGTGGAACCCTGCTCAAGATTCGTGTGTATATTTAATTGGTGGCTCAGGTCCAGACACGAATAGCCCCGTGCCATGTCTCGAGGGATTGATCCGGAAACAAAGACAAATCCATGCATAGATGTGCTCAGTGCAGGCTTCCTCTGCCTCTTGTCTCAACTCAACACTGGTGTACAAGACAAACCTGGATCCCATTTTTTCTCCAATGTTGATATCAACTCCGCACTAGACCTGAAAGCGGGCCATGAATCATACAAGCCTATTGTTCAGGCGGCTTCTTTTTGAGGCATCAAGCGGGAAAGGATTTGGATGGTTTTCGCTGGTCAAAATCAACCAAGGCAGAGGTCGCTTTTTTACCCCAACAGCTGAAAGCGTTGGGGTCTCAGCCCGGATAGGCTCCGGGGCGGTCCGGGGCGGCCCTGAGGTGAGGTTCCACGAGGGTTCCACCAGGGTTCCACCAGGTTCTGCGAGGGCTGCGGGGTAGTGGGCGCACTAAAAGAGCACCGCATGCTGTTGGGGATGTCACCTGAGCTTTTTGTTTTTTGTTTTTGTTTGTTGTCTCCATCGTCCGGGTTATCTTGACTTGCCAAACAAAAATTAACCACGAAGAGAAGGTGCCCTTTTCCCTTGTGGAAAATGGCGCCTTTTTCTGTTTGGCTGGCTGAGGCTTGTGAGATCTTGTGAGTTCAAACTATCCAAGATCAATGTGCTGGGGTCCAATGGCTAAGCAGAAGTTGTCATAGGACTATGAAGAGCCACGGAAGTTGGGCCCTTGGAACTCGTGAAGCCCGTGCCGAAAATCTGGATTGGGATGGAGACACCGGGAGACACTATGGCTTTGGACCAAAACGCCGGGCACCTGTGAGGATTGGGGGTTGGTGAACCCAGCTGGTTTTACAGGCTTTCGATGCCTGGATTTTGTGCATAGCACCAGGGGATCCGATCGTCTCAAGGCGATTCGATTCCGCTCTTTTCCCCTTTCCGCAGGCCGCCATCTGCGGGAACCTTGCACAGCATGGATACCGGATGCCAAGGCGCCGAGCCAACAGCTTGTTTCAAGAGGAACATCTTGCCCTTCACTTCCCCAGAATTCGCTGCCCTTTCTGATTCTTGCTTTTTGGGGGGGTTCCCTTCGTTTTTCCACGAACCAGGTAAAACATATTTGTGGTTTTGCTGGGGTCTTAATTGCCAAGTTCAGGGCTCTATGCACTTCCAGCTAGCAGTTTGTTGGGATGCGATTCTAAGCCAACGTCCTTGACCATGTAGAATGCTATGATTTGTTGATAGGGGCCCACCTCAAAAGTGGTTGGTGGACATGACAGGTTGTTGAACTATACCCTTGAATACCCAAGGTGTGGCGACAGAAGAGAAAACAACATGACGCGTGTGCACGGTCACACCCAGCTCCCAAAAACCGATGTTTGGCCAAATGTCGTGAAGAGGCTTTCGTTTCTTGAGGGGAGTTCGGGATGAGGTCTGTGGGTATGTGTCAAAATAAGGGGACCCTCAAATTGGTGGTTGTTACTTTTGGTGTTCCTTGTCAGTATGGCTGACGAGGGGACCAAGCCTCAACAAGCCACACGTGACTTGGGAACTGGAGGTATCCTCCGCCGGCCCGCGAAGCCAGCGAAGGCACCGGAATCGATCCGACGCAACTCAGGCTGACCCGCGCCCCCTTGATGTTTGATGCGGTCCTTATAGTCACCCCTCCCTTGTGTGGCTCTGCCATGCTTTCCCAGCGAACTGTATCAACTTTGTCCGGACAAGGATGGGCTTCCTGATCTAGCATGACAACAAAACCGAGGAAGGTTTGCGCATGCCTTTTAAGTGTAGCACCAAAGTTTCTTGGCCCGGATACAGCACCGTGCGCAGTTTCCAGCTTTGTCCGAAGGAGCGAGCGACCTGAACTCAGATGTCAGCATATTGTATGCCTTTGGACATATTGTAAGATGGTGGAAAGTGACCTTTTGGTTGATAAACGTTGTTTAGCAGCTGGGGAGAAAAGGGGGGGCGGGTGCTGGGGGCGGGCAGTGCCAACTGTTTATTCGCAGGGTGTTTGCTGGGCGAAAATGGGCAAGTTTGTTTGGGCTTTGACTCCAGCCGCACTGGGTGATTTTACTTGCAGATGCTAGTGATGCTGGGGGCCTGGAATGATCAACCCTTCAGCGTGGCGTGTGTGTGAATGACCACCTTCAGGGTCCTCTGCACTTCTCGGCGCAGCAGATGTTGACAAGACAAGCAGAAGTGCTTGGGGAATTCATGGAAGACCCCTGTCCCGGTTGCGCGTCGCCTATTTGATCGCCTTTCGCCTTGCCAGGCGCCAGCTCTTTCTCAGGCACCTCAGGCAGATGGGGATGGGTTGGGAGGCGTAAACGGACCAACTAGGTGGATACCATCCGGATTGGTTTTGGGCTTGGTTCAAGCAAGCCCAAATCTGAAGGAAAATGCAAGAGTGTCTCCAAGCTGTTGGGGGTATGGGGGGGGTGGAGTTTTGACCTCGATTCGCCAACTTTGCGGGTTGGGCCAAGCCCGTACGAGTTTTGGTGAGCGGGCGGAAGCCCATTTTCCCAGCCTTTCCTGAGTTAGCAGGGCTAGGGTTCCGCAGAGCTGGGCTATTCTTTGTCTGCTTGAGTTTCCCACGTTGGCGGTTTTTTCAAGAGGCCCTTTACATGGAATGACCATTGAGGGAAACCGACACCTCCCACTAAATGAGAACATATCAATGAACGGATTGTTCATCAACCCCCGCATTTCACCTTGAAGTCACTTGGTGGGTTGGACTTCGGAGCGCGACGAACAAATATCGCACAAATTTGTGCGCCTCTGCTCATTGTCGTCCATGCATGATGGAGCATCCGGGCATTTCTTCAAAAATTCTGGATTGGAATTGGCCACTGCTCGCGAATGGAAGCGGAGGCATTGGTGACGTAAAGCTGCGTTTCAGCTTTCCTGTTGGTGTCCCTGTCGAGTTTTCAAACACCGGGCCACTGCTGATTGCTTGGCCTTCGGAACCTCAGAGGAAAGTGATTTGGACCCAACTGGATTTGGCGCGTCTCGTTTTTGGTTCCTCCTTTTTGTGGTTTTCAGGAAAACTAAAAGGACAGCCACCATTTGCGGATACCCCAAAAAGGACCCCCTTTGCAGTTGGTGAGCAGCCCCCATGTCCTAGTTCTAGTTTGGGTGTCCCATGCCGTTTTGGCTCACATTCATGTTGACTTCGGATCAATCCGGGGCCTTTTAGTCACAGGAGCCCCACAAAACGACCATCCGACCATCTCATATTTTATGTTAATGGCCTTCCGGGCTTTTGCCGTAATGGCAGCGATGAAACGTGCAGCACGGTCTTGTCATTCCGTATTCATCTGAACCCGCACCAGGGAAGCTTTGCATTGTATCACACCCTCGAAGAAATCATACGCAGTCGAGGTGATGTTGACCGTGGCTCACATACCCGCATGCGTGCAGGATGCGTTTGATCTGGAGAAATTGCGATCGGGTTCCAACAGCCGAGCTCACTGCTGCGGGCACTTTCTGCGGACGTTTTGCGTTCAACTTCTTTCCGCGTTTGGGAGGAGCTCGAGGCATTTCTGAATCACAGTTCTGCCCGATTGTCGGTGTCCACTCTTCACGCTCTTTACTCCAAGGAGAATTCCAAGGAACCTGCAATTTGAGCCCTCAGGTTCAAATAGCACCAACCGCAAGTTCTATTTGCCGGGATTCAACGCAGATTTGAGTCGATTTGTTTTTGAATGCCAGGGACCCGCCAAGGGCCTGCGACGGCGCAAGGCAAAGGGACTTGAGCTGAGCACTAGGGCCCCTTAAAGGGTGAAGCCGTTTTACCCCCCCGTCTTGGTTGTAAAGGGAATCTATCACTGCTGGAACTACGTGCTTTTTTGCCTGCGGGACTGTTCTGAAGCAAATGGAGGGAGGCAGACATTTCTTTACTTGGGCAAGCGGGGTGACGAGTGACCAACATGATGGAATTGTGCCAATTTTCACCAGCGTGCAAGCCTTGCTGGTAGTCTCCCTGGTATACCGTCCCTTCTCAGATTGGACTGTGGGTTGGAATGACCCCCGAACTCCTCACGTGCCTGCCAAACGGGAAGGGCGCCCGTTCAAGTGCGCCCGCTCAGCACCACGCACGCACGCACGCACGCACGCACGCACGCACGCACGCACGCACGCACGCACGCACGCACCGCACCTGCCAAATGGTTAAGCGCGCCCGCTCAAGTGCGCCCTCTCAGCCAAATGGAAAGCGCACAACCACAAACAAAACACACACACACACACACACACACACACACACACACACACACACACACACACACACACACACACACACACACACACACACACACACACACACAACGCACGCACGCACGCACGCACGCACGCACGCACGCACGCACGCACGCACGCACGCACGCACGCACGCACGCACGCACGCACGCACGCACGCACGCACGCACGCACGCACGCACGCACGCACGCACGCACGCACGCACGCACGCACGCACGCACGCACGCACGCACGCACACACACTTATCTCGAGTGGCTTCACTCGCAGACAAGACAACCCTTGGCTTCCCTTGGCATCAACAACAAAGGAAGCAGACAGCGACTTTTGGGGACCCAACATCACAAAAACAAAGGGACCAACAGCGGGTACGTTTTCACGGGACCAGAGGGGGGTCTTCGTTGGCCACCGCCCCCCCTGGTCCCCGGTGGCCCCCCGCCGGGTTTTTATCGTCCGTGATCCAGGACGGCACACACACACAAAGCCCCGGTGGGGCGGACACGAACCACACAGAGGGAATTCCACCAGGGGACCGCCAAAAACCCCGCGGCAACAGCAAAAGATTTTCAAAGACGAAAAACCGGGCGCACAAAACCAAGCAGAGGGAATTCCACCAGGGGACCTCCAAAAACCCGCAGCAACAGCAAAAGGTTTTCAAGGACGAAAAACCCGAGCACACAAAAAGCCACACAGAGGGAATTCCACCAGGGGACCGCCAAAAACCCCGCGGCAACAGCAAAATATTTTCAAAGACGAAAAAACCCAAGCACACATCAAGGCATCGTATGAACGTGAAAGTGAATTGAACTGATCTGAGTCAGCGCAGAGCGTGAACCAATGAACTGCAAAGTCGGTGTCTGACCGGCTTGTCACTCGCGCATGAAGCTGCCGGAGCCTGATACCTCATGAGAGCTGCTGCCTTGTTCAAGATTGCAGGCAGTGCAATGCGAATGAAGCTGCCGGAGCCTGATACCTCATGAGAGCTGCCTTGTTCAAAATGCAAGCAGTGCAATGCGAATGCGAACTGAACTTGAACTTTTGAACGTCATCCCCTCGCAGGGGGCTCCCGCATATGGCGAGTCCAGCCCACGGCGCCATGTCGGACAGGCCGTGGGTATACACACTTATCTCGAGTGGCTTCACTCGCAGACAAGACAGCAAGAAACCCTTGGCTTCCCTTGGCATCAACAACAAAGGAAGCAGACAGCGACTTTTGGGGACCCAACATCACAAAAACAAAGGTGCTTTTCCACGCACGCACTGAAACAATTAATTTCATATCAGCCACAAAGCTTCCGCAAAAAACCCGCGAACAAATCCCATCCGCGAAGCCTTCCGCATGCTTCCGCGCGTGTGGCACGGTGCACATTTTCAATAATAGCGTCCCTCTCCCTACTAAGTTAGCTTGCGGCCAAAAAACCGCCGCTCATGGTGCGCATGCCACTTTGCACGCTGTGTGTGTGTGTGCCGTCCTGGATCACGGACGATAAAAACCCGGCGGGGGGCCACCGGGGACCAGGGGGGGCGGTGGCCAACGAAGACCCCCCTCTGGTCCTTACAGTAGAAAAAACAAGGTGTTGCTTCGTATACGAAACGCAACGCTTACTCGAAGAGCAGTTGCCAACAGCAAGCCGAGAAGACCAAACAGCCGATGCATTTTGCGGAAGCTTCGCGGAAGCTCCGCGTAAGGGTGCCCCTGTGTTTGCAGGCAAGTGGCCACGTATCATGGGTAGCCGAATGGAGCCCAAGCTTGCACAGGCTGCGGCGAAACACTACCTTACTTTCCTTTCTGCGCCAATGCTCGCGGAAGCAAACCTTGTAAACCGTGCGCCGCGGAAGGCTTGTGGAAGAAAACAATGAAACACATGTGCTGCGGAAGTTCGGCGGAAGGGACCCCTTGTCCAGCAGCAAGGATGCGGAAGTGTCCGCGGAAGCTTGAATAATGTCCAAGCAAGTTCCTAGGAAATATAACGCTCAAATGGAAAGCGCGCCCGCTTAAGTGTACCAGCTCAGCACCAGACACACCAACACAAACAAACAAACAAACAAACAAACAAACAAACAAACAAACAAACAAACACGCACCCACACACGCACACACACACAGACACACACGCACCCACACACACACACGCCCGCCCGCCCGCCCGCTTGCCCGCCCGCCCGCACGCCCGCACGCCCGCGCGCGCGCCCGCACACGCACACGCACACGGACATTGACACGGACACGGACACGGAGACACAGACGTGCACAGACACAGACACAGACACATACACAGACACAGACACAGACACACACACACACACACACACACACACACACACACACACACACACACACACACACACACACACACACACACACACACACACACACACACACACACACACACACACACACACACACACACACACACACACACACACACACACACACACACACCCACACCCACACACACACACACAGACAGACACAGCGCGCACGCACGCACGCAAGCACGCTTGCACACACGAACACACACACACACACCCACCCACCCACCCACGCTCGCTCGCTCGCTCGCTCGCTCGCTCGCTCGCACACGCACGCACGCACGCACGCACGCGCGGACGCCCACCCACACACACACACACACCCGCACACCCACACACCCAGACCCCTACACACCCACACACCCACACACACGCAGGCACGCACACACACACACACACATACACGCGCGCCTGCCAACTACTCAGCCCACCTGCTCAAGTGCACCCGCTCAAGTGCACCCGTTCAGCACAAGACGCCCATTGTCCACTTCGCAGATAGTTTGGCCCCAAATGATTTGTAATTCGGGTCTTGGTGTGAGTCAACCAAACAAACATGTGCTGCTTGCCAGGCACCACCAGCTCAAGCTCAGGCGTTTCCCCACCTGTCCAGCCAGGCGCAGGGAGCCCGTTGCAAAAAGTGTCAAATCTGTTTCTCATGTTAGCGTAGTGTAAACTGCAGCCAAGTCCGGCAGAACCCGGGGGGGCTCTCTCCATCTCTCTGTCTCTCTCTCTCTCTTTCTCTCTTTGTCTCTCTATCTCTTCCTCCCTCCTTAACAAGCAGCTGGCTCAGCTCACCCTTCGCCAGTCAAGCTATCTGGCCAGGCTCCACTCAATCCCAGAACGATGGCAGTGCTCAGTTGCTTTCGGCCCTCTTCGAGGTAGCCAAGACGCGAGATGCGAGCCAAGATCACTCGCGGCTTGAGGCACACTCTACTCGTCCTCATGCTCGACGACCTTGCCGCAAGACTCTAGAAGTTTGTGGCGTCCCTAGTCGGAGGTGTACAACGCCAAGTTGAGTATCCGAACGAGAGGATGATATGGAAGCCAACGGATGATGGGGCGCAAGCTGACGCAGCTGCAAAGCATGTTGGAGCGCAATAATTGCTACATTCTCTGCTAGCAGAAGTTGGTGCAGTAGGTGCAGCTTGGTGTATCACCGCTAGGTGTTCGCATCGGGTGGTCAGCGTTTACGCTTGCTAGGCTCTTCGGAGCGGGGCATTTTGCTCTTTCTGGAGATGTGGCAACAGCCCACAGCCGCACAGGCCAGAACAGAAGGTCTGTCTCACTAAGGCCGCGCAAGGGGCGCACGGACTTTCTGCGACACCAAAGTTTTAAAGTCTCTCTTGCTCCCTCACTCTCGCTGTCTCTCTTATTATATTGCTGTGTCTTCCTTTCTTTCTTTACTTATTTATCTCTCTCTCTCTCTCTTCCTTTGTCTTTTTCTTTCTCTTTCTCTTTCTCTTTTTATTTTTATTTTTCTGTTTTTTTTTCTCTCTCTCTCTCTCTCTTTTTCTCTATTTGTTTATTTGTCTCTTTCTCTTTCTCCTTCTCTTGCTTCTTCTCATGATTTTGTTACTGTTGCTCTTTTTCTCTCTTTCTATCTTTCTTTCTGTCCTTCTGTTTCCCTTTCCCTTTCTGTTTCTCTTTACCTTTCTCTTTCTCTTTCTCTTTCTCTTTCGCTTTCTGTCTCTCTCTCTCTCTCCTTCTATCTACCGATAGAAATGTTTCCATTTATCCACTTGCCTACCTTTCTTTCTCTGCCTATATGTGTATCTATCCGCTGCCTGGCCATTTCTCTGGTTAGCTAGACGGTGCCGAAAGCGGCTCGGTAAAGCAAGTAGAAGGTCCCCGAACCGAAAGTCTGCAGAGGGTTGTATTGGCGTTTCTTCTGCCAGAAGCTTCGTTCTTTGCACGCCCAAAAAAACAAAACACGCAAAACAGAACGGAGCCAAGCCAAGAGACAAATCGCGCAAAACCAACCACATCGCAAACTTGTGGTCCGTCTCTGTGTCACACATGCACATCACAAGCATAGCATGATATTATGACAAGCATGGTTTTGAACAGAATGAGTTTCAACGAGATGCCTGTTTTATTTTCGAATGTGTTGACCTGAGTGCGACTAGATCTAAGTGATAGAGTTTGCCCTTGCCAAATTGAATACCGCCGCAGATATCTCCACAACGTACCCCCCCTCCACAAACTTAGTGGGTTCCACGTTGGACAGGAAGGTTGCTGGAACCTTTTTTTGTTTTTGCTCGTGGTGACTGCGGTCCTGTACTTGCCTGAAGCAAAAGAAGCTCTCAGAAGCTCCTCTTCACCTTGCAACCACTGCACATCTCCGCTCAACCTGCCCAAGAGGAATTCTGCAGGTGATTGTTCGCAGTTTTGTGTGTGGCTCACAGAAGTCGCCTCAAGCAGGAAAGCGGCTGACAAGATGTACTGCACAAATCTCGCTCAAAGGGTTCGAACAAATGGAGCGTTACGAGTTCTTGTCGGTTAGTGGCGACAGCCAAAACAAACGTGAAACACCTTGTGCCACTGAGCCAAGCAACCTGGGCATTGGTGTTTGTATGGTGAAAACAGTGCACAAAGAAACACCAATGGATGGTCAGCGCGGGTGTCTCCTCATAAGAACCTCGCGGATTTCCCCTCAACCTTACGGATGTCTGGAACCTGGGCTCTCCTTCAAAGCTATGTTGTGAACGACTGAATGGGATTGAATTTACATGGGAAACAACCTCATCCATGTTTGGTGGACGTACCAAAATTATCTCCACGAAGAGCTTCCCAAGTAAAACTCATAGCCATATAAAAGAGAATGGGAAAGAATCACGTAAATCGACGTGTTTTGAATGGGTTCGAAGCAGGAGGGGAAAAACAGGAAGCCTTGCATTGCGGTGGGGGTTGGAAGGAATTTCATTTGCCCAAAGCCCTTGGTCAAGGTCCCACAAGATAAACCTATTTCTGGCTCGCCTGGCTCCATGAAAGTGGCAGCATACTAAAAATTATGCGTTAAATGGTGGTTCAAAAAGGGTTCCCGCCCGCAAAAAGCAATTCTGAGGAGCGTGTTGGGACTCAGTGTGTGCGAAGGTTCCGCCCAAAAAAACTTGTTTATGTCGATACATATGGGTGTGTATTTTGTGTGTGTGTATTTTTGAGGCGGGGAGGTATCGGGGGACCCTCTTTTGGTGGGTAACTAGTTATAAGGCGCATGCAAAGGACATTGACCCTATTACCTCTCTCCATCTCTCTGACATGGCGCCTGACAGAGGTCCCTCCAAGAGGAACACTGACCTTCCAGGTACCCTTTTTGATCTAACCATTACAAAGGGACTAGCCCATGGTTCTTAGCTTACCAACTTGAACAGCTAGGTGTCGGTGTTGTTTCGTTATCGTCTTCTTTTTGTTTCCCTTTTTTCTTGTTTTTTTGTTTCGGGAGTGGTTTTAGTTTGGCACGTGGGGTAATATTCCCGGTCCCAAAAAGATGGGCAACTGGGCAAACAATTGGTTTAGGTCGTGGCGGTTTTCCCAATGGTCACCCCATGCAATGTTGACCGGACAAATAAACCCCTGTTTATTAATATGGGGGTGTTCCCCCCCAAAAGTGATGGTTCCCACTAAAACCAGGGACACCAACCACATTAATAAGCAGGGGTTATTATTCCGGGGTCAACATTATCACGGATTGGATCAACCCCGGAGGCATTGCATCGGGCAGCCCGCCGGCCAATGCTCTCCCATTGCCAAGAAAGCTCATCGGCGAACCAGCACGCGGCAGGCCGACTGGCGCAGTGAATTTGGGGTTATGGCCTTCCATATGTTTAAGTCTGTTTTTTCCCCCTGTTGGTTTTAAAGGGAATCGACCACTACTGGACATATTTTTTTGTTTGCCAGGGGGCTTAAGCAAATGGACATGGCCCTTTATGAATTGATCGAACCACCCACTGTAGTACGCACGATTTGGAGAGATCCACTTTTTGGAGACACTAACCTGGCCCACATCTTCATGACCATTCAGTTGCGGATCTTTGGACTCTCACTTTCTGGTTGAAGCTTTGGTGGATTTCCGTATAGCAGCAAGACGTTATAGTGAGCACTTTTTGCAGGGGTCGACAGCAACCAAGGGCCACGCCTACGCAAACCAGAGAATATCCATCTCAGTAGAACCGATTCAAGAGTTTTGGGCCGCAACCGAAACCCAGGTAAGGTTCAGGTTGGCAAGGAAAAGTGTTGCCCAGATGTCCCTGCCTTGTGTTACTTTGTTCTACATTGGTTTGGGTAAACAAGTTCAATAACAAGTCAAGTATAAATGATTTGTGGGGGCAACAGGGTCACCTTGAGCGGCAATGTAGCCCTTGACACAACAAAACCTTCAATGATGGGCTCTTTGTAACGGCATCTTTACTTATTACAGAAAGGGGCAAGCGCATCACAATTCCCATGTAGAGTGATGGACGAACTCGGTGGCTTCTCCCAGATTGTTGTTTTTCCGGACGTTGCGTCCAGTGTGGGCGTTGTTTTGCGCGAGGCCTTCGTTGCCCCAGCCCCCCCTTTCCCCCCCCCCCCGGAAAATAATAAGTAAAAATGGTGGTGGAGGCCTGTCGAGTGTGGAAGCTCAAGAGCTGGCTTCAGCAAGATCAAGGACATTTGCAGAAGCTTCAAACCGAACCTTGTCAAAGGCGCACCTGCTCGCAGGTGATGAATGGTTTGCAGAGGTACGTGACAGGGAACTGCCCCTGCACCTCAGAGGGAGGAATCTCTGCGCCGGCTTAGTGTTTATTTTGCTAGCTCGCTTTCGCCGGGGTTTGGCCGCGTGACAAAAAAGGCAGAGATATCCGGGGACATTCATCGACTCTACATGCCCATGGAATTCGTTTCCGTGAGGAAATATGCTCAGAGCTTCAGGGTCCATCAGCTTTTGCACATGCCCATTCGACATGTGATTTGTTTCTTCTGCTTTTTTCGCGACCTCGCAATGTTTTTGGGATCGCCGATTTCCCCCACTTATTTCCTAAGTGGAAGGGACCCTTGGGGCCAACCCCCAATTCAGAAATTTGGTCCTATGGCTCATACCCCAGCGAAAAAGAGAACTGGCTAGCACAGAAGACGGATCGCAAGGGGACTGCCAGTTGAAAGCTCCATTGTTCCGTTGCACGTTGAGCAATCGGAAAAGCTGACGGAGTGGAAGGCAGAAGGCTCCCGATGTGGCCCTTCCCTGCGAATGCCTGCACGCGTCTTCCCACGCCAATTGGATGTTCGCTTCATGCAACATCCAAGGCCGAGCTCAGTGACACCATCTTAAAGGTTCCCTCAACTCCACAAAAACTATGGTTGCCTTTCTTGAAATCTCGTACACAAATCATTTCTTCGAGTCGGTGTACGGCTTTGGCGCTGCGCTCAAATTTATCGATGTGAAACTTCGGCGGCTCGCAGGACCCACTCATCTCAATTTCTATTCCCTATTCAAGTGTCTTGGGGGTATTACCTGTGGAGTCTCCAAGCGGTTTGCACTGAATTGCCTTGAGATTGCCGATTGCCACCAAGTGCTTAGTCCAAATATTGGGCCCGTTGGGGCTGAGTTCGGGCTCTTGCAACTTGGCCTTTGGGCCACTGTTTTTTGCTTTTCGTGGGCCATCCAGAAATGGAAGTGTTGCATTTCTCTTTGAACCTGGTCGGATATGGCAATCTGATGCACTGACTTTAATTCAGAGCTCGCTTGCCATTTCAACATACAGTCCAAGTCCACCACTGTGGACGGAAGTCGGTGCGCTTGGCCATATGAGAAATGCAATCGAAGCGCAAGAACACAAGAAAAAAGAGATCGATCCCTCCGAAGGGCTGGCTGAAATGGTGCAAAATGCCAAAATCGGAATGGCTCCTGTGAGGGCCATGTGCACACTGCACTAATCAGATTGCCGCTCGGTTTTCTTGGGGCAAAAGAAATCCAGCAAGTGGTTCGAGGGAGAGACTCGGGCCCAAGTTGCTGAGAGAATTCTGGGGAAAGAAAGATGTCGGGCTGGCGATTGCATCCATGTAATTAGTGCAGATACCTTGGCCGTTTCGTCGAGTCTGGAAGGGATTCCGAACAATCCCTCGCCGGATGAGTGGCAGGCACTTCTTTCAGCGTGGGCTAGACAGTGCCGGTCAACATGGTCACTTGGAGTGAGGATGGTCATCAATTCGCCAACCATGTCTTAGATGAACACACAGACTTCAGGATGCGCGAAGGAGCCTCACTCCCTGAGTTCCTGGACTTTATACTTTTGGCTAGACCATCTCAGTGGCAAAGAACAAGTGTGGACTCTTTCTGGCCAATCAACTCAAGAAGGCACGAACTCAAGGAGATTGTCAATGCTTTATATGATCTAGTGAGCTGTACTTTGCTAGGTACCCAGCATCGAGCCAGCATGGGTTGATCCTGATCAGCACACGAAGCCCTCGAGCAACGTCATCTGAAGCCATTTCTTGTAAAAATCCTGTCGGTTGCTTCGGACGTATGAGCATTGTGTACGCAAATGCAAAATTCAAATGCACCTATATGGCTGTGGGTCAAAACTCGCTAGCCCAAATGGAACCCTGGCATTGGAAAAGAGGACTAAAACCTGCGGTCCCCTGGTGGTTTAATTTCGACCCCTACCCATATTGCTTGGAACCCATGGTTACTCCACTGCCGGCGCCCGAACAAAGTGGAAGCTGTGCTCAGGAGTGTCTGAGCGGATTCCATGACCATCCCCCGCACGGTCGTTTTGACCATGGCACGGGTGACATTTCGCTTGCAGATGCGGATGAGGCAGGGCTTCCCAATAATCTGACGCGCTAACACGACACCGTGCGACTCACAGATCGCCATGCTCTCACAAGTGGACCGCCCGAAAAGCAAAAAGAGTCTGAACGCATGCCTGCTCGACCTCGCGTCTTGGACAAATCTATCCTGTGGGCGAATTGCCCCGAATTCCAATTCGGTGACACCCAGTTGCCAGCTGTTCTCCGGCAATGTTGGCTTCCTAGACTCATTCGGGGGTCGGGTCCATTGATTTGGAAGGCCTTTGTTTTTTTTTGTTTGGCTGGCGGTGGGTGTTAGACTGGACAATTGCTGAAACAGGCAAGCACCATGGAAGTATGACCATGGAGCAAGCAAGCAGCTGACGGGAACGCGAACGATGGAAAATGAACAAGGAGGGAAAGCATTCAAAAAGGGAAGGAACGCAACAAACACAAAGGGAAACAAATCAAAGCAAATAGTGCAAAACTACAGTACAGCTCAATGGCAAATAAGTTCACGGTGTTGAATGCTTCTAAGAAGGCAAGCCTTGGGACCTTGTGTTTCATCTGTGGACATTGACAGAATGCATGTACCCCGTGCCCATCATGGTGGAAAGCGGGCCCTTTATTTTGTGATACCAACAGTGGGATTCCCAAGGCCTATGACCACTGTCTCACTTTTGAGGGGATTGCGCAAGGATAAGGTATGTGTGTGTGTTTGTGTGAGGGTAGACTTTTGGGGGCTACTTTGAAAAAAATCAAAAGGAAAGCCCTCATGCTGAGTAGACTTCGAGAGGATCCTTCCCGTGTAAAGTAGATATACAAGGAGGACAGGATGGTAATTTGAGTCTTTCTCAAAAGATGGAACCCCTTGTTCGACATTATTTGCCGGGACACCCAAATGCAGCCAGCGATGTCTGAGGGTTCCTTTTTGTTGGCGACACTCATATTGTTTAACAAGGACTTCCCCTTTGGGCCTCAAAATTGATTCGGACCTATTATTTTTGAACCGCTTCGTGGTTTCACCAAGAATCCTCTCAGCCTGGGAAGGGTTTTCATTTTTTAACCCTGGTCCTTTAACAAATGGTGTCATATTCTAGGGAAGGTACACGGTGTCTTGTTTTAGGGCGCCCCCCCAGCATGGTGTTTTTGCTTGTGATTTCCCCTTAAAACCACCACAACAGGGGTACCCTCCAAAAAAAGACAAACCCGTATGATGCATTGTTTTACGCCACCCTTTTAGGAAATCACTCGTTTGTCCCTTAAGAGCGCGCCGGTCAAAGGGAAACCACCTGGGTACGTGTCAAAGTGGGGATTGGGACATATTGGGACCCAACTCAAGAGTACAGATCCAAATGGAGCTGTTGTTTGTTTTGAGTTACCCTTCTGGCAACCCAGTAGAACCTCTGTTGGGTCGCAACTTGCCAGGCGGACAGCCGCAAAAGGAGGACGTCAGGCCGGGGTCGTTCGACGAAGATAGAAAGCTGTTTGGGTGCTTCATTCTGGCTTGAATACTCCTGAAGTAGGGTAATTTGACCAAATGACGTCATCATAAGACGATCATGTCAATGTGAATAGTTTCGCCCCTTATCAAAGGATCGTGCGTGTTTCACGCGTTCTCAGAAACGGGTTATGATCGCTTGCACCGCCCGTATATATAATACAACATAATATAGTATTATAAAATAATGCAAAATAATATAGTATGATGTATAACATCATATAATGTGATATGTGTATATATATATATATATGTGTATTGATATTCTGTCTCAAGTCTAGTTGTAGAAATGTAGTTGCTGTAAGGAGCAAATTCGTGACAACTGCTTTTCCCTTCTAATCATCTGCGCATGGCCACATGGCTTTTCATTACCCGACCCCATACTCACTCCACGAGTTCCTGAACTTTCGTCACTTTGGGGGTTGGACCATTTTAGTGCGGTAAACAACACTCTTTTCGACTCTTTTCGATATGTCGCACAGGCTCGGCCTTGGCGGAACCTGTCCGTGACCCCTTGTCGGTCACGCACCAAAGAAACGGTGCAACCGCTGCTGGGAACGCCCAGCACTACCACACATACTTTCATCTTTGCCAGCTGGGCCACGGCTGGAAATGCCGGCCCCACCTCGCTGCACAACTCCTGCCGGCAAGTGGGCGTGCAGCCACTGCTCAACAAGGTCTTAGCGACGCTCTGCCCATTGCCACGAAAGGCTGCGCGCCCACACGCGGACGATGTTGCTGTCCGGGCGCACGTAGGCACACTTTAAGTCAAGGCCTTGCGCCTTCCACACTGCTGCAAGCACCCTCAAGAACCGCTTGAAGCAGGGCCACTTCACCACGAGGCTTCAATGCCCGCCCATGATTGCAAAGGCACGGCGGCAACTCCGCGACGTACTCCAAGAATTCAGTCGCGCACAACGCACGAGCCTGCTCGAAGAACGGGGATGACCAAACCCAGTGCTCTACGCTGTCGGCCTGCCCGTCACACGCGCCATCATGGTCCTGCTCCATGTGACGGAATGCATTATTCGTGAAGAAGGTATGACCCCTCCTTTGCTCAACCGTGGCGAGCCCAAAGGTGGGCCTTTGTCCTACTATTTTACGCTATTGTTTTTGGCTCGAAAAAAAAAGTGTTTTTTATCTGACCCCATTTAGCAGCGCAAAACGTGAAGAATCGACCGCATTGCCCCGGTCGCGTCTACGTTGAGAGCGATCTTTGGGCTGTGGCTCAGCGAAACAGCACCATCGCTCGGCTGATGCGTGAAACGCGGTTTTGTGCATATGGAGAGAGCAGGTTGCAAGCGCGCAAATCTACGTCACGCAGCGGCCGCGCTGCTGTATATATTTAGCGTCCGACTCAGCGGCTGCGCCGCTCCGATTCAGCGGCTGTGCCGCTCCGGTTTAGCGGCTACGCGGCTAGCCGCACTCACGAACAG